GACGATGACAACGAAGACGACGATGACGACGCCGACGATGACGACAACGACGACACCGACGACGACGACGACGTCAACGACGCCGACGACGACGACGACGACGGCGGTGACGACGACGACGCCGACGTCGACGACGACGACGACGACGCCGACGCCGACGACGACGACGAAGATGACGACGACGATGCCAACGAAGACGACGACGAGGGAGGAGGGAGGACGACAACGGCGACAACGACGACAACGACGACAACGAAGGAGGGAGGACGGCGACGACGCGAACGACGAAGAAGGAGGAAGGACGGCGACGCCGACGACGACAACGACGAGGGAGGAAGGAAGACGACGACGACAACGACGACGACGACGACGACGACGGCGACGAAATAGGAGAGACGACGACGAGACGCCGACGACGGACGACGACGACGAGGGAGGAGGAAGGAGGACCACGCGGAAACGACCACGACGCCAAAGAGGACGACGACGACGAACACGAGGAAAGACAGAGGACGACGTAGGCGACGACGACGACGCGAGAGGGGGGAGGACGGCGACGACGACGACGACGACGACGCAAGAGCGCGCGCGCACGCTTTTGTTGAACATCCGTGTTGCGAAATCTTGTGTTTTGTAGGTTCGGTTTTTTGGACACGTTTTTGAAATCCTTCCGAAACCGATGGGTTTTGAATGATTCCGGCATGCGCGCGCGACGACGCGCGCGTCTGCGCTTCGTCTCTTTTTTTGCAGAGGATTCTCGCGACGGCACACGCGCAAGGGCGTTCGACAGATTTCGACATGCGCGCGCGCGAAGCCCGTTTGGTTGTTTTTTTGCGCAAATCTTGAAAAACCGATGGTTTTCTTAAGATTTCGCAAGAGCTCGCGCGTAAGCTTTTTTAGCACATCAGTGTTGCGAAACCCTGTGTCTTTGTATGTTGTTTGGGAACTCGATTGCGAAATTCCTCCGACACCGAAGGTTTTTGAAGGACTCCGGCAGGCGCGCGCGACGACGCGCGCGTGTGCACTTCGTCCCGCCAGGGATTTGTGACAACTTCTGACTGTTGATAAACGAGTGTGCGCGCATAGTTTTTTGCAGAGGATGGCGGGGGGGGGGGGGGGGGGCGATACCAGTTCCCTTGGAATAATGCTCTTATTTCGGATGGGCATGTGGTCAGAACCATGTTAGATTTACATACCCGAAAGGGGGGCGGATAACGCCGGGGGGGGGGTAGAGTCTATTTTCTTTTTAGAAGGGAGAATCGACATGGTGCAATCTTGGTGGTGCAGTCTTTAATGCAATGCACCTTGCCGAACGCGAAGTTGACAACTCCACTGCTCGCGCAGTCATCCCACCCACCCACCCACCCGCAACTTGGCTTGCAAAACCAATGCGGCGGCGATTGGGATGGCGACTGGGCGCTAGCTGGCGCATCGCTGCAACCGCACAAGCGCGCAAGCTCGCTCCCAGAACTGTGTGCTCGCTGGCGCGAGGGCACTTCAGTGCGAGTAGTTGATTCGGGCGGGCGCGGTATCATTGCGACGTCGACAAAAGCGGGAACGACGATGACGGTAGCGATGCTGTTTAGGATGATGACGATGACGCCAGCAAGGCCGATGACCGTGCCGATGCCAGTCACGCCGATGACGATGATTGTGTCCACGTGTCGGTGATGGAGTTTTTGTGAGGATTTCGACATGCGCGCGCGGCCGTTTCACGCGAGTGGCCCGCATGGTATTAGCCGGAAGGCATCGCGCCACCCCAGTAAGTGCGCAGAGGCGTTTGAACGATTGCGACGCGCTCGCGCGAGAGGCTCGCTCCGCCGCGTATGACGAACACAAAGAAAACACATGTCTGCCAAAAGAAGTCGCAAAACCGCTGGCGCTGATTTTTTATTGATATGCCGCGAAATGATTTTCTCTGTTCCAACCATCCCGTGGTGTTGGGTCGTCGTTCAGTACCGTTGTCACCGCCTCCTCTTCCCACTCCTCCTTTTCCTCCTCCTCTTCCTCCTCCTCCTCCTCTCCTCTCTTCTCCTCTTCTTCCTCTTCCTCCTTTTCTTCCTCCTCCTCCTCCTCCTCTTCCTCCTGTCAGTCTCCTCACTTTGGCACACCCCTCATACGTTTCGTGGCCCCCATATCCAGCTACACCTAAGGCACCAATGGCTGCGCCCGCATGCCGCGAGGCCTTCATGTCGGCATACCCCTCATTCGTTTCGTGGCCCGAAGGGCGCTACACATAAGGCCCTAGTGGTTGCGCCCGCCTGCCGCCACCCTCTCAATTTGGCACACCCCATCACGGGTTTGGTTCCCCATAGGGAGCTACACGTAAGGCCACAATGGCTGCGCCCGCATGCCGCCGCCCCCACGCGTTCCGTGCGGCTGCGCCCGCCTGCCGCCACCCCGTCAGTTTGGCACGCCTCTCATTCGCTTCATGGCCCCATGGGGAACTGCACCTGCGGCCCCAATGGCTGCGCCCGCATGCCGCCGCCCCCTCATTCAGGCAAACCCCTCACATGTTTCGTGGCTTCATAGTGGTGCTTTACCTAGGGCCCCGGTGGCTGCGCCCGCCTGTTGCCACCCCTTCAATTTGGCACATCCTTCACGCGCTTCGCGGCCCCATAGGGAACTACACCGAAGGCCCCCATGGCTGCGCCCGCATGCCGCCGCCCGTCCATCTTGGCACACCCTCACACATGTCGTAGCACCAATGGGAGCTCCACCAGAAAGATCCCCGTTGTTGCGCCAACATGCCGCCAGCCTCTTATTTTCGCACACCCCTCACACGCTTCGTGGTTCCATAGGGAGCTCCACCGAAGGCCCCAGTGGCTAAACCAGCATGCCGTCACCCTTTCATTTTGGCACACTCCTCACACGTTTCTTGGCCCCACAGGGAACTCCACCGAAGGCCCCAGTGGCGGTGTTCGCATGCGTTTGTGCAGCGCTTCGTGGGAGCTCCACCGAAGGCCCCAGTGGCGGTGTTCGCATGCGTTTCCCCGACCCAGTGCAGCGTTTGGTGGCCCCATAGGGAGCTTCACCGAAAACCCCAGTGGCGGTGTTCGCATGCGTGTCCCCCGCCCAGTACAGCGTCTCGTGGCCCCATCGGGAGCTCCACCGAAGGCCCCAGAGGCTGTGTTCGCATGCGTTTCCCCCACCCAGTGCAGCGCTTCCTGGCCCCATCGGGAGTTGCACCGATACCCTAGTGGCGGTGTTCGCCTGCTTTCCCCCGCCCAGTGCAGCGTTTGGTGGCCCCACAGGGAGCTTCACCGAAAGCACCAGTGGCGGTTTTCGCATGCGTGTCCCCCACCCAGTACAGCGTCTCGTGGCCCCATCGGGAGCTCCACCGAATGCCCCAGAAGCTGTGTTCTCATGCGTTTCCTCCAACCACTACAGCGCTTCGTGGCCTCATCGGGAGCTCCACCGAAGGCCCCAAAAGCTGTGTTCTCATGCGTTTCCTCCAACCACTACAGCGCTTCGTGGCCTCATCGGGAGCTCCACCGAAGGCCCTAGTGGCGGTGTTCGCATGCGTTTCCCCCACCCAGTGAAGCGTCTGGTGGCCCCATCCGAAAACCCCAGTGGCTGTGTTCGCATGCGTTTTCCCACACCCACTACAGCGTCTCGTTGCCCCATCGGGAGCTCCACCGAAAACTCCAGTGGCAGTGTTCGCATGCGTGTCCCCCGCCCAGTACAGCGTCTCGTGGCCCCATCGGGAGCTCCACCGAAGGCCCCAGAGGCTGTGTTCGCATGCGTTTCCCCCACCCAGTGCAGCGTTTGGTGGCCCCATAGGGAGCTTCACCGAATAATCCAGTGGCGGTGTTCGCATGCGTGTCCCCCACCCAGTACAGCGTCTCGTGGCCCCATCGGGAGCTCCACCGAAGGCCCCAGAGGCTGTGTTCGCATGCGTTTCCCCCACCCACTACAACGCTTCGTGGCCCCATCGGGAGCGCCACCGAAAACCCCAGTGGCGGTGTTCGCATGCACTTCCCCAGTGCAGCGTTTGGTGGCCCCATAGGGAGCTTCACGGAATAATCCAGTGGCGGTGTTCGCATGCGTTTCCCCCCACCCGGTACAGCGCTTCGTGGCACCAGAGGAAACTCCACCGATCGCCCCGGAGGCTGTGTTCGCATGGGTTTCCCCAAGTGCAGCGTCTGGTGACCCCATGGGGAGCTTGCGTTTCCTCCAACCACTTGCAGTTCGTGGCCCCATCGGGAGCCCCACCGAAGGCCACAGTGGCTGTGTTCGCACGCGCTTCCACGGCCCAGTGCAGCGTCTGGTGGTCCCATCGGGACCTCCACCGAAGGTATAAAGTGGCGGTGTTCGCATGCCACTTCTGCTGGTTGCGCCCCAGTCGCAATGTGCTGGCATGGCCTTCCAAGGCCTTTGCTCGGCGGCGAGCGAGGGGGGGAAGTGAGAAGGAAAACGCCTTCTCAGGAGGCGGCGGGGCTTCTCAGCAACCCTCGCGCCTTCAGAGAGGTTTCCCGTGTCTTCGGGAAAGTCTTGCAAAACTGTTGAGGAGGCCGAGGGACTTCCGAACCATCTGGGAAAGCGTTCTCCTTTTCACTTCCCCCCAGGCTCGCCGCCGACTTGCATCCTTCTCGTGCGCCCGTAGTAAAACATATATATTAATATTCGCATCAACCCGCATGGCAAGGATGGGCAGCCTTCCCAAGGGTACCCTTGCATCCTTGCCTCCTCGGTCCATCTTTGGCCACTTTCGTCGGCACCGCTCCGCTCGAAGAGCCTCGAGATCGGCCTCCAAAGCCGTTGCATCCGCGGCCGACGGAGGAGGAGAAGGAGGAGGAGGAGGAGGAGGAGGAGGAGGGGGAGGAGGGGGAGGAGGAGGAGGAGGAGGAGGAGGAGGAGGAGGAGGGGGAGGAGGGGACTGTACGGGTTGGCTCCATCCCCGCGGCGCTCCGCCGCCTCGCCACGCGCCGCCCGCGGGGGCGGCGCGGGGGGGGGGGGTCGCCCCCCCCCCCCGCGCGTGGGGCGCGCCCCGCGGCCAGGGCACGAGACCTGCGACGCCGCGATGTGCATGAAGGCCGCCGTCGTCTGCCGTCGGTCGTCGGTGTCGGTGTCGGTGTCGGTGTCGTCGTCGTCGTCGTCGTCTTCGTCGTCGTCTTCGTCGTCGTCGTCGTCGTCGTCGTCGGCCGTCGGTCGTCGTCGTCGTCGTCGTCGTCGTTGTTGTCGTCGTCGTCGTCGTCGTCGGTGGTCGCCGTCGTCGTCTGCGGTCGTAGTTCTCCTGTTCCTCGTCGTCCTCGTCGTCGTCGTCGTCGTTCTCCTCCTCCTCCTCCTCCTCCTCGTCCTCGTCCTCGTCCTCCTCCTCCTCCTCCTCCTCCTCCTCCTCCTCCTCCTCCTCCTCCTCCTCCTCCTCCTCCTCCTCCTCCCCTCCCCCCCTGGAGGGGGGGTCAGGGGCCGGTCCGACGAGAGGAAACGTCCAGGACGGCCGAGAATTGCGGATTGGATGGTGATGAGGAGGAGGAGGCGGAGGAGGAGGAGGAGGAGGAGGCGGAGGAGGAGGAGGAGGAGGGAGGAGGAGGAGGGAGGAGGAGAAGGAGGAGGAGGAGGAGGAGGAGGAGGGGGAGGAGGAGGATGAGGAGGAGGAGGAGGAGTCGGAGTTGGAGTTCCTGGACGTAGTCCCACCAACCCTTACTGACTCCCCTTCAGGGCTCAACTCGCTGGTTCAGCCTTACTGTATGCCTTGGGCCACTACCCTAAAGCAATCCGACGGAGGTATTCTCTCCTGGTGGGTGTGGGTTGGGAAACGCCAGCCTTCCCGAGGCCCAGGAGCTGCTGGCCCCCGTACATCCCCACAACAAGTTCAAATCCAAATCATCAACACAGCGTGAAACCTCAGACAATGGGATGAGTGACGAATCCCCCCACCGAGGTGAACGGTGGCCCCCTCAGGAAGCGCACGAAGGGAGCTGTCCAACGCAACGAGCCTGCAACCCGGAGACTGACTCCACGCCTGGACGCGGGCAGCCGACGCAGACCCGCGACACCGCAGGCACCGTCGGCCACACTCCGAGAGGACGCGGGACGTCTCAAAGAACGAAGTACCACCGCTGCAAGGGGGCGGACGGGGGGGGGGGGAGGGAAGCAGCAGCACCAGCAGACTCACCCTCATTCACTTCTCCCGTGGCCTCCCGAGGCCCTCGCCTCGGGCGCTGCCGCCTCCCGCTCCGAAGGCGCGTCTGCTGCAGCTGCCTCTCGGCCTCCAGGGAGGCGTGGTGCGACCGCAGAATCCGCATGCGGTTGAGGTGCAGCACCCGCTCCTTCTCCAGGATGCTGGCACGGCTGCCCTCTGGCACTCTCGCAAGCGCTGCACATTCTCCCGCCAAAACATCTGCTGCTGTGTCGCCGAAGGTCCTCCACGAGGACCCAGTCTGACGTACAACAATGTCCTACGCCTCCAAGTGCGAATGCGTGAGAACGACTGTAACATGTTCTCGCCGCCTGCCACCATCTCGGAAAAAGCAGGCCTATCTTCGCCCACAGCTCTGCGTGCTCTCCTGCAGGCCGTAGATACTGCTGGGCCCACCAACCGTCAAACACCAGTTTATTATCCGTCACACATGTGAGATACTGTGTCACCATCCTCAAGGCAACCCAATAGATGTAGACCTCACCGCTTGGTACCGTCTGAACCACACCTGGGAGTGCACCGAAGATAGACACTTGTAGCTGGAAATTCGTCTCGCTGGCCATCTGCACCAAGCCAAGACCAGGAGGCGGAGGAGGAGTCGTCGGCGGCGGCGGCGGAGGAGGAGGAGGAAGAGGAAAGCGAAGGCAGAAGAGGAGGAGGAGGAAGAGGAGGAGGAGGAGGAGGAGGAGGAGGAGGAGGAGGGAGAGGAAGAGGAAGCTAATACTACTAATAATAAAAATCAAGGCGAGGAGCCATACTCATAATGATAACCAGACAAATCATCAGACTCAGAAGAACCGTACATATAATACTCATACTGATAAGACTCATAACACTATTGATACGAAGAGTATTAAGACAACGAATATTACTACGAACGCTAATGCGACTAATAATAATAAGCATAAGGCGAACAATACGATCAATACGCACAATACTGAGAATGGTAAGACTGGTACTACTAAGTATGCAACAACGTATTAGCACACCAAGAACGCTACTGCTACGAATATGAACACATATGCCAAGAAGACATATAATAGCAATAACACGAATAATAAACCACTAATACGAACACGAATGATAACGCTAATACTAAGAAGCATAAGGCTACCACGAATACTACTAAACATACTAATCTGGCTACCAATAACAATATCAAGACTACGAATAATACTACGACATCTAGTAATAATAATAATAGTGAGACTCATACGAAGAAGAACATACGGATCAACCAATGCTAGCACTTGTAATATTCATAATGGTAGTGATGGTGCGAATGGCAATAACCATACCACTACAAACAGCAATCACACCAAAACCAACAATACTAATACCACTGATCATTATATGCTTAATTGTAACCAAGACTACTACTACTACTACTACTACTACTACTACGACTACGACTACGACTACTACTACTACTACTACTACTACTACTACTACTACTACTACTACTACTACTACTACTACTACTAGTACTACTACTACTAGTACGACTACTACTACTACTACTACTACTACTACTACTACTACTGTACTACTACTACTACTACTACTACTACTAACTACTACTACTACTACTACTACTACTACGACTACGGCTACGACTACGACTACGACTACTACTACTACTACTACTACTACTACTCCTGGCTGCTGCTGCTGCTGTTACTACTACTACTACTCCTCCTCCTGCTACTACTACTACTACTACGACGAACGACGACGACGACGACGACGACGACGACGACGACGACGACGACGACGACGACGACGACGACGACGACGACGACTACTACTACTACTACTACTACTACTACTACTACTACTACTACTACTACTACTACTACTACTACTACTACTACTACTACTACTACTACTACTACTACTACTACTACTACTACTACTACTACTACTACTACTACTACTACTACTACTACTACTACTAATGCTACTACTAATCATAATGGTAATACTACTACTACTACTACTACTACTACTACTAATAATAATAATAATAATAAGAATGATCTCGCGGCGTGGTGCTGCGCCAGATGTTCCCTGCGCGTGTTGCGAGTTTTTGGCACGTTCGGACGCCCAGATGCACACGCCGTTCACTGTTCATTGAGGAATGTTGGTTGAGGCTCAGTGCATCCTCCTCCTCCTCCTCCTCCTCCTCCTCCTCCTCCTCCTCTCCTCCTCTCTCCTCTCCTTCTCCGTACACTCTTGGCTCGTCGATTTTGGTCCGCTTGGCGTCTCTTCCAAGTGCCACATTTGCCGGCTGCGCTGGGCCACAGGCCCACAGGCGCCGCCCTCCTGGGCGGAACGAAGCCGCTCGCTCGCCCGCTCGCTTGCCAGTTGAGGCGTGTTCATTGGTTCATGATAGTGCGCATGCCGTTCATTGACCTGGAGACGGATCTGGAACAGTTGCTGTCAGCGGGGGCGTCATGGGCTGCGTTGCCTTCTTCATCTGCTGCGCCAGCCAGGTGGCGCATTCAAGAGCACGGCCACAGCGTGCCTCAAGGCGATATCATCACAGTTCATCGCTGGCCCCAGCAGAGTAAACATGCTTACGATGCGTCCGACCACGTATTTCGACACTGGGGGGGTCTTACTCACCCGCCAAGGGCGATCTAGCGTGCAAAAGCTAAGTTGGATCCACATCGGAAGAGTCAGTTTGTCTTGGCGGAATCCGAAGCATTGTCATCATCGTGTCGCTCAAGGGAGGCACTGCGAGTGAAGCCGGTGCTGTCGGAGTCATGTCAAGACGAGCCAGTGCAGTTGGAGATGCGACAGGTGGAGCCTGTACCGACGTGGGTCGCCCGTCTTGGGGGGCGACTGCCCTTCGCGAGGCCGATCGCTTCGGTGTTGCAACGCTGCTCCGTGCCGCAGTCTTGTCCCGCATCCCCCTCCCCTTCCCCTCCTCTCCTCCCCTCCTCTCGCTCCTCTCGTGCCTCCGCATCCTCTCGCTCCTCCCCTCCCCCCGGGCCTCGTCCCGCGCTCCCCGTCCGCCGCCCCTCCGTGCCAGGGCAAGCGCGAGACGAGCAGCGGCAGCACCTGCAAGTTCAAGCTGGGCGAGGTCCGGGTGGTGGAGTCGGACCCGCCCCGCGCGGCCGGTCCGCCCCCTCTCTTCGCCTCCGCCCTCGCCCCTCCTCGTCCCCGTCCTCCGCCTGGCCCTCACCGGGTGCTCCCTGCCGTGGGCGTGGCTGTCAAGGGTCCCAGTCTCAGGAGGAGGAGGAGGAGCAGGAGGAGGAGGAGGAGGAGGAGGAGGAGGAGGAGGGCCAGTTGCGCTGCCACGCGTGCCCGACACCCTGCCTGGGGATGTGGGCCAGGGAGGGGAGCAGGATCAATGCATTTGAGTAAAATGCTTCGTGAGGGTTCCGTAATATTAGTTTATTCATTTGCACTTGTTCTAGATTAGATTACAAATCAAGTGACACGGTCGGTTGGTTGGGTGGCCACGTGGCTGGTCGCCCAGTTGCCCTGTTGCCTGGTTGGTTTGTTGGTTCGTTGGGTGGTCGATTGGTCGGTTGGTTGCCCGGTTGGTGGTTGGTTGGTTGATTCGTCGATTGGTTGGGTTGCGGTTGGTTCGTTGGTTGTTCAGTTGGTTGTTTGGCCAATCGGTTAATTGGTCGGTTGGTCGGTTGCATGGCGGCGCGACGCGGGCACGGCGTGGCACGTCATGGTTTGGCAGGTTTGGCAGTTTATTTTTCCCGGTTGTCCGGCGGACTAATTGGTCGGTAAATTGGTTGGTTGGTTTGGTGGTAGGTTTGTTGGCCCCTTCCATTAGTTTCCTCGCATGGCAACGCAAGGGGGCGGAAACACAGTATTTCACAGCACTCGTTGCGTGGCGGCGCCCTGGGTGAGACATGTTGCGCTCGCCACGTGGCAACGCAGCGGGGCGGACCTTCTCGCCGCGTGGCAGCCCCTCATGGGGCGAACAAGCAACAACCGTAGTCTGCTCGCCACGTGGCAGCACAGCGGGGCGGAACAAGTACAAATCTGCTCTACTCGCCACACGACAACGCAGCAAGACGGGAGCAGCACCGTTTCAGTCTGAATCGAGTCGTGGCAGCGCCTGGCGGGCGAAACAGTTCGGTCGTATGCCCTTTGCCACATGGCAACGCAGCGGGGCGTCAACAGCCCCTATTCTACTCCTACTGGTGACGTGGCAACGCCTGGGGCGGACACAATACCAGTCCACTATTCGTCACGTGGCAAGGCCTGCTAGGGCAACACGTACGACTCTGCGCGTGGCAACGCAGCAGGGCGGGCAAAGTACAATTCTACTCAGATTCGCCAGCTGCAACGCCTGGGGGCGGAGACACTGTACCGTTCCACTCTGCCCTTTGCTTGACAACGCCTGGGGACGAAACACATACCATTCAGTCATACTCGCCCTGTGGCAACGCAAATGGACGTCATTTTTTTGTATCTCAGTGTACCCGTCACGTGGCAACGCCTGGGGGCGAAGAAAATATAGGATTCGATCATATTCGTTGCGTGGCACCGCCTGGGGGGCGAAGCAACGTCCTATTCCACTCTAGGGCGGAAACGAACTACTACACTCTGTTCGCTACGTTGCAACAGAAGTTGGAGTAGCAAATATGAGTCTACACACCACGCGGCAACGCCGCGGGGCGGAACTATCTTCGTTCGCCACGAGGCAACGCCTGAGGGGCGAAACGATACAATTCTATCCTACTCGTCGCGTGGCATCGCACCGGGGCGGAGAACGCACAAATTCCACTCAACTTGCCAAGTGGCAACGACGCAGCGGGGCGGAAACGATACCATCCACTCTCTTCGTCACGTGGCAAGGCCTGTGGGCGAAGCAGATACTATTCTATTTTGATCAAGAGGCTTACGCCACTCCGCCGACCCCCAGAAGAGAGTATGGGGACCGTTGGGGGCCTCTGGGGTCAGCTGTTGGGCCTCTTGGGGCCTCCTGCGGGTGGAGGAGGAGGAGGATGAGAACAGGAGAGGAGGTTGGGGAGGAGCAGGAGAAGGAGGATGAGAAGGAAGGGATGGAGAAGTGGGCTGTGGCGTTCTCTTGGAGGTGTCGTGAGCCAGGTCGAGCTTGAGCGAAGGGGGTTGTAGGGATTCCGATGATCAGATTGAGATTGTGCAGAAGGGATCTTAGGGAGACCGAAGCGTGGGGAACGCGAAATAACGAAAGGTGGAAATTTGCCGTCGTAGTTTCCGTGGTGGCTTCTTGGGGGCCTTCCTGAAGCCATCTCGGACCGTCGTGGAGCTGCCCTCGGCCGTCTCGACGCCACCCTCGACTGCTTTGGCGCTCCGTCTGGGCCCTCCTGGGCCGTCTCGGGGCTCCTGGGAGGCTCCGCAGGCCCCGGGGCTGCGTCGTGGCGAGCTCGTCGCCCCCCCCCCCTTCCTAAACGGCGTGTTGGACCGCAGGGGAGGGGGAAAGGGGCATGGGGGACGGCCGATCTCGCACACGCCGTCTCACCCCTGGCAAGCGGGCGTCGGCGGACTCGCCGCGTGGCACCGCAGCGGGGCGATCGAGCTCCTGCTCTGATCTGCGCGTCACGTGGCAGCGCCTGGGGCCGACCAGGGAGCGCACGGCACCGCCCCGCCTGCGGCACGCCGTGCCGGGCGTCTGCGGCCCTGCCTCGCGTGTCCTTCGCGTGGGCGCCAGTCCTCCACGCGTCCTCCGCGTGTGCTTCGCGGGGCCAGACAGAGATACGCAGTGCACTCGACTCGCCACGCGGCAGTGCCCCAGGGGCGGCAGCGGCCAGCCGTCGGCGGCCGGGGGGCGGCGGCGGGTGGGCGGCGGCCGACGCCCGGGCTCGGAGCTGGCATCGAGTGGCACAGTCTGGCGCAGCCTCACACAGATCGCGCCTCGGGGGCTCGCCAGTCGTCGTCGTCGTCGTCGTCGTCGTCGTCGTCGTCGTCGTCGTCGTCGTCGTCGTCGTCGTCGTCGTCGTCGTCGTCGGCCTTGTCGTAGTCGTCGGCCTCGTCGTCGTCGTCGTCGTCGGCCTCGTCGTCGTCGGCCTCGTCGTCGTCGTCGTCGTCGTCGTCGTCGTTATCGTTGCTTGAGAGCCGTATTTGCAAGCTCTATTGAATTTCCAATTTCGGAGACACGGATCCCCCATCCGACAGGAGCCAAAAGGCTCCTGTGGGGCCGCGGGCAGCAGCTGCCGCGATTTCTCGGCCGCGCGATGCCACCAGCGGTGCCACAGCAGTCGCGGGGGCCGCTCGGGGGCTGCCTCGGGGCCGCGCGGCGCCGTCTGCACCGCGCAGGTGGGCACCTATCCATCAGGAGGGAACGAAACACACAGACACAATTAATCGTCGATTCCCAAGAAAATATGGGAAATTATGGGAAGTGGAGGGGAAGACAAACACCCAGAAAATATGGGGAAATATGGGGGATCTTTTTATTTGTGTGTATTTATTTGTGTGTCCCAGGGCCCCTTCAATCCAGGGTGTCCAACATGATTGGCCCCCAGCCTGGAACGACGACATCGCGCAGCTCTCACACTCCACGGATAACTGGGGACAGAAACGCGAATCGGGGGGAGCTTGCTGCGGACACTGTGTTCCCGGCAGTCGCTGGAGAGCGGCTTCGTCGCCTACCCCAACGTCTGACCACAGTGCCGTTTTTGATTCATGCTCCGCGTGCGGATCACGTATGACAAACGCAGGGAGTTAGTCTCAAAAACAACCAGGAGTTCATGCATCAATTTATTCATACATGGATCACGCATCAAAAATCCCATATGTTTTCATCCAGTGTATGAAAAACTGCACCGTACCCCAACGTCTAACTGCTGCGGGCCCCGGCCCACCCGCGCCGGCCCCCCGGGCCCCGCCAGCCACCTGCCGGCGGACGCGCGCGCCTCGCTCCGCCTCGCCCCCCCCCCCCCGCCTCCCGCGCGGGCATGCCGACGGGCGGCGCGGATGCGGCGGCGAGCGAAGGGGGGAAGTGAGAAGGGGGAGGGCCTTCTCAGCAGGCAGCGCCAGACGTTCCAGACGCTCTCGCGCCGTCTGAGAATCGACCAGACGTCAGAGGGACCTCTCCCCGGAGTGCCCTTTTGGTGCGGGCACGGATGGGTCCCCGGGTGGCCGAAAACGAGGCAGGAGCAGCGGCCTGCGCGCCCAGGTGTGGCGCTCCCACGGCCCCCCCAAAAGCCGCGCAGCAAAGGTCACTTTTACCCACCCTGACTCCTGATCCGCCCTACTTTGGGCGATTTCGAAAGTAGGGCGGAAATTTCCGCCCTACTTTTGAGGCCCCTTTGAGCGTCGATTTCCGCCCTTGAGGCTCCTTTGGCGTCGATTTCCGACACAATTTTAGGTCGGAAAATCATCCAAAGTACGGCGGATCAGGAGCCAGGGCAGGGTCACTCCCGCGTGTGGCCGAGAGAGGAGTTCTGTGCCTTCGGGGAAGGCTTAAGAACACTTCTCAGAGGGCCGGGGGGGCTTCCGATCCTTCCGAGGAGGCCCGCCCTTCTCCCCCTTCCCCCTTCGCGCGCCGCCCAGCGGCCTGGCATTTTTTTTTTTGAAATTCTTGTCATGGCGTTCTGGTCGGACGAAGCCGGGATTCGGGAATACAGCCCACCATTCGATCTCGTCATTCTGAACGTTTCGCTGGCCGTTCACAATGCTGACTGAATTGGGCCCAGCTGGATCCACATTTGATGGCATCGTCACGTACTGCGCTCCCTTGACGTGCTCATTTTCCTCCACCGCATTCACCATCATATCATTGCAACGGCAGGACGCGTAGGTCACGGGAAAACGCCCATGGACAGCTTATTTTGACATGTCCACTGCCAGCCTCACTGGAAAAACGATCCGCTTTTGTCCTCCCACCCCGACTTCCTTTCACTTCGCTGAGCAGTCACGCGTGCGAGCGCATGACCTGCACGCGCAGCCTTGTGAAGTCCCCGAGAGTGCACCGGTGCAATCCGGCCGGGGCCCCAGATTATAGCTGGGTGTGGTCCCTCAGAGCACGCAGCCGCGCACGCGGGCGGCTCCTGATTCGTTTGTTCGTCGGTTCCCTCACGAGAGTCGCTCTCCAGATGCGCCATCCAGCGTTTTCGTGCGTTGCTGGAGCAGCCCAGCTCACTGGCTCCAATCAGAGCTTTAGAGCCGCACGCGGGGAGTACGCGTGGGCTGCACGGGGCCGCCTATCTGGTGGGAAACGCAGGTATGACATCACTCGGCGGCCAGCGAGGGGGGGAAATGAAAAGGGAAAGGCCTTCTAAGACGGCGGCGGGACTTCTCAGAGACCCTCGCGCCTTCCGAGTAGGTTTTTTTTTGTCTTCGGGGAAGGCTTAGAAAACATCTCAGAAGGCCGGGGGACTCCTAGAAGGCCGGGGGACTCCCGAACCTTCTGAGAA